TATATATAGATAGATAGATAGATAGATAGACAATATTTATTATTTTAAATTGTAATAACGTTTCACAATGTTACTGTTTTTATTGTATTTTTGATCCAATAAATGATCAAATATAGCATTTTAAAAAACCCAAACCTCTGAATTGTAGTGTATATCAGTCAAATATAGTACATACTTGTTCAGGGTGGTCATCTGTGTCCTCCTCCATGGTTTTCTGAGACTGGGATTGTACCTGGTCAATTTCTGTGCTCAAAGGCATGGAAATTAATGGTTTCTCAGACGTTATCTGTTTCTTTGTACTGCAAAGCCTGACAATGAAGAAATCCTCTTAAAACCAAAAATCCAAATAATATCTTTATCAATAAGTAACGGTTTTGTACCTTATAGTGAACAAAATAAGCAAAAAAAGTTCCATAGCAAATATCAAAATATTTTAAAAAATGCAGCATATTTACCCAAGACTTTTTCTAATTAAATGACCTCGAATCCAGCGTTGTATAATAAGTGTAGGGGAATAAACGGCCTGAATCCTGTTTATCTCAGAGATTATTTTATATGTCGCTTTCATCTCTGTCTCAAATGAATACTGAGGAAAAAGAAAACATCCAAATAAGTTTTTTTTCCCACTTAGACATAGCAGTAAACACAACAAAGAAGACTAGGATAAATAATGAGCACTAACCGACTTTGTAGATAGGTACAAACTGACACAAAAGTGTTGATTCATGGCTTTGAATCGAATAGGAAGAGACCACTTTTGAATGATTTCCTCATCAGAGATAACAAAGTTGTCCAAGGCCTTCAGTGACCATATGCTGTTGACCAGACAGTGCCTGTAGCTCTTCTTTAAACTGAGCGGGGTGTCATAGAGAGTTAAAGCAGTCAGGTTTAAACAGCCAGACAGGCCTTTAATATTGTTCCAAGTTGATATATTATTGTCGTGTAGATATAGAAGCTGCAATTCTGTCAGATGACTCCAACATGAAGCATCAGGGAGCTGAACAATCTGAGCAGAAAGATGACTGTTAGTGATTTGTTCTCCTTAAAATGAATCAAATATTCAGGGAAGCAAATGAAATAAATACCTGATTTCCTTTCAGATCTAACTTCACCAAGCGAGTGCATTCCATCAGAGCTTCGATCCTAGTCAGAAAGTTGTCAGCCAAGATGCAAATTCGCAGTGCTCTGCAAGATCCAATCTGATCCAGACTCTTTAAAAGCAAACTACTCAATCTGACCATCAAAATGTCCTTCAGGTCTTTCTCACTCTCTGATGTCCAGTAGCCATGATCCAGGATCAGAGACTGAGAGCAGTTTACCAAATAGGCCCAGTATCCCTCCATAGAATCCATTTTCACATCTTTGTGAAATTCATCTCTTCCATTTTTTGAAGGAAACATTTTTTTCATATCACAAAAACATCCTGAGGTAGGACTACTGTCAACAGTTCATGATTATAGTATTATTCCTAATACATATTTGGACATATTAGCATATTTCACAAAAACTAACCTGTTCAAATTCTCAGTCTGCTCTTTTGTTTGTTCTTACCATGGTTTTGTGCCTGGCTCTCAGCTGTATTCTTTTGTTGGCCGAATGAGTCAAAGATAAAAGTTGCTATGACAACATTAGTTGGAGATACAAGAAGCTTCTCCAAACATTTTCTTGAAAACCACTCACACCACTTTACAAATAAAACGAATACTGCTTTGTGTCGGGAGGTTGAAAATTATGAATAATTAATTCAGTTTAATGTATATTATTTGATGGAGAGTAATATGTATGGACGTCAGAGTTTGTTTGTCACGTGACTGGAACCCGGAAGTGCTTATGTGAACACAAGTTACGGGACATATCTGATGGTTTTAAGTAGTTTTTTGAAAACGCCAAAATAACTGATCATTGTCGCACATGTTTCCGTACATCTGTTATTGATGTCCTGTTGTTGGTTCATATTTGTGGTTGAATAAAAGTGTCAGATGTTAGTGTAGCGATTTAGACAGATAAAAGGATTTGAATGGTCAGACTTGCTGATTCTCATAATGGCAGAGCGCTTAAACATCCATCTGCAAAAATCCACCAAGGACAAACTTGAAAAATTCAAACAAATAAGAGGTAACGTTTCCGTTACATCTTTCAACTTTTCTATTTTTTTTACAGCTGCTTGACTTGTTGACTGCTGAGATTGCTGCTGCTGAGCGATTGTCTCATTCTCATACCATGGTATTTACTACATAGTTAATTCACTTACCATGGCATATGGTAGCTACATGCCCAAATAAACATGGTAATACTGTGGTACTTTTCACTGAGAATAT